TGAGGTGCGACATGTAACGTCCTATACCAACTCTGAGTTGCTACATGTAACATCCTATACCAACTCTGAGGGGCTACATGTAGCATCCTATTCCAACTCTGAGGTGCTATACATGTAACGTCGTATACCAACTCTGAGGTGCTACATGTAATGTCCTATACCAACTCTGAGGTGCTACATGTATCATCCTATTCCAACTCTGAGGTGCTATACATGTAACCTCCTATACCAACTCTGAGGTGCTATACGTAACATCCTATACCAACTCTGAGGTGCTACATGTAGCATCCTATTCCAACTCTGAGGTGCTATACATGTAACCTCCTATACCAACTCTGAGGTGCTATACATGTAATGGCCTATAACAACTCTGAGGTGCTACATGTAACGTCCGATACCAACTCTGAGGTGCTACATGTAGCATCCTATACCAACTCTGAGGTGCTATACATGTAACGTCGTATACCAACTCTGAGGTGCTACATGTACCGTCCTATACCAACTCTGAGGTGCTACATGTAACTTCCTATACCAACTCTGAGGTGCTACATGTAGCATCCTATACCAACTCTGAGGTGCTATACATGTAACGTCCTATACCATCTCTGAGGTGCTACATGTAACGTCCTATGCCAACTCTGAGGTGCTACATGTAACGTCCTATACCAACAATGGCCTACCTTTAGGATCATCCTACAAACTTAGAGGTACTTGGTGACCTTAACGTAGGACTGTCCAGAAATTGTCAAAAGTAATACATGACCTACCTTTAGGATTGTCTCCCAAACTGTGAGGTGTATTAAACACACTGATCATCGAGTCGATCACAATAAATTGATCACCATTTGTTTAAGAAAAAATGCTGTATAATCCATCTTATCTGTGGGCCTTCCCAATACACAGCTCTTATAATCACATAATGGCCCAATTGACTCAAGTTGAAATGTCCCTACGGGACTGGGCCGATTATATATCCCGAAATGCTTGTGTGTGTATAGCGATTGATACAGAAATATAATGTGACATGCCATGCGGAATGTTACAACTGGCCCTCACAGTATACAATAATTTTATATCATTACAACTGATATTCCCAAATTTTGAAACATATTTTTTTTGTTTTCTTCCATAAAATTTATAGTTTTAAATCCAATCCTGAATGAAAGTTTCATGCCATTGTAAAAAGATTTTGTAATAATAGATACATTGTTCGAATCTAACAACTAGCACAACTAAATCAAGAAAAAAATACAATTTCCAAAGATCAAAATCAAAGGACATCTACAAAATAAAATATCCCCTGTCCAAATATTTATGAATATGGCATGCTTGTGAACGCCATAACACAGGTCTTTGTTGTGTTTCTGCAGTCCAATGAATGTGTGGGTGTATTACAAGTATGAAACGTCACAAAGGTCACAACAAGGGTTTGGTTGGGGAGGGAGGGAGGGAGTGCCGTTGTTGGAGGTCAGAATCATATACGTATAGGTCATGTTTTAAAACATAACCCGAATGTCATATATACACACAAATATGTCACGATGTTAATACCATGAAGGAAATATTTTTTAATCATTATTACAGTTATCAATCAACTGTAAATTACTATTATATTGATACAATATACATTGGAATGTGAGTTCATAAGATCATAAACCACAGCATAAACAAATTTTCTATTACCGAGAAATGAAAACTCCCAGAGCTATTTTAAATAATTGAAGTGTGTTTTTTCTTTAGAAAAAGAAAAAAGTTACAGAATATTATCTGAAAGTACATATGTATACAACTTGAAAAATTCCAAGGAATGTGATATATGAAAAATTATTGTAGCATAGCCCTACTGTCCATTATAATATCACTATCATAACAAGTCAAATTGCTTGTAGGTTTGACAACTTTTTCTTTGATCAAGGTTTAACAACCTCGCACTGTCCCAGGTCATATGGAGACAGTTTTGATAACTTTTCAAGCCCACTGAAAAATATCTGATTTTGACAGTTATAGTTTATTTGAAATTCTGACGCTGAAATCTATCAAAACATGTCAGGATGGTTGTAACGCGTAACTTTCCAGTAACACAATCCTAATAGGACAAAACATTTGTCAAATTCTCCATCGTAATAAATACCGGGAACCTCGTCCAGTGTCAGACCCAAATAGTAGAACTCTTGGTTGTCAACAAATGAAAAAATCGAAGCTGACCTAGTTTTCCCGCATACTTTCGTGAATACCTGATGATTAATACTAAATAAGGTGTAGAAAGGCGAGGATGTCGGAGGTTAAGGAGAAGACAGCAGGCTATTGTTGTCCGCCCATGTACGTATCATCTATCAGCTGTTCTGGTAACCTTATCACATTAGTACCAATGTTAGTTCTACTGGTCTGAACTGACATTTATAGAGGCGACAGTCGTATAGTGTCAGTACTGTAACCTGGTAGTCACATCAGAACTATTGTTGATTCTACTACAGGTCTGGACTGACATTTATAGAGGTGACAGTCGTATAGTGTCAGTACTGTAACCTGGTAGTCACATCAGAACTATTGTTGATTCTACTACAGGTCTGGACTGACATTTATAGAGGCGACAGTCGTATAGTGTCAGTACTGTAACCTGGTAGTCACATCAGAACTATTGTTGATTCTACTACGGGTCTGGTCTGACATTTATAGAGGTGACAGTCTTATAGTGTCAGTACTGTAACCTGGTAGTCACATCAGAACTATTGTTGATTCTACTACAGGTCTGGACTGACATTTATAGAGGTGCCAGTTGTATACTGACAGTACTGTAACCTGGTAGTCACATCAGACCTATTGTTGATTCTACTACAGGTCTGGACTGAAATTTATAGAGGCGACAGTCGTATAGTGTCAATACTGTAACCTGGGAGTCACATCAGAACTATTGTTGATTCTTCTACAGGTCTGGACTGACATTTATAGAGGTGCCAGTTGTATACTGACAGTACTGTAACCTGGTAGTCACATCGGAACTATTGTTGATTCTACTACAGGTCTGTACTGACATTTATAGAGGCGACAGTCGTATAGTGTCAATACTGTAACCTGGGAGTCACATCAGAACTATTGTTGATTCTACTGCGGGGCTGGTCTGACATTTATAGAGGTGACAGTTGTATACTGACAGTCCTGTAACCTGGTAGTCACATCAGAACTATTGTTGATTCTCCTACGGGTCTGGTCTGACATTTATAGAGGCGACAGTTGTATACTGACAGTACTGTAACCTGGTAGTCACATCATAACTATTGTTGATTCTACTACGGGTCTGGTCTGACATTTATAGAGGCGACAGTTGTATAGTGTCAGTACTGTAACCTGGTAGTCACATCATAACTATTGTTGATTCTACTACGGGTCTGGTCTGACATTTATAGAGGTGACGGTTGTATAGTGTCAGTACTGTAACCTGGTAGTCACATCATAACTATTGTTGATTCTACTACGGGTCTGGTCTGCCATTTATAGAGGTGACAGTCTTATAGTGTCAGTACTGTAACCTTGTAGTCACATCAGAACTATTGTTGATTCTTCTACAGGTCTGGACTGACATTTATAGAGGTGACAGTCTTATAGTGTCAGTACTGTAACCTGGTAGTCACATCAGACCTATTGTTGATTCTACTACAGGTCTGGACTGACATTTATAGAGGCGACAGTTGTATAGTGTCAGTACTGTAACCTGGTAGTCACATCAGACCTATTGTTGATTCTACTACAGGTCTGGACTGAAATTTATAGAGGCGACAGTCGTATAGTGTCAATACTGTAACCTGGGAGTCACATCAGAACTATTGTTGATTCTACTGCGGGGCTGGTCTGACATTTATAGAGGTGACAGTCTTATAGTGTCAGTACTGTAACCTTGTAGTCACATCAGAACTATTGTTGATTCTCCTACGGGTCTGGTCTGACATTTATAGAGGCGACAGTCGTATAGTGTCAATACTGTAACCTGGGAGTCACATCAGAACTATTGTTGATTCTTCTACGGGTCTGGTCTGACATTTATAGAGGTGACGGTTGTATAGTGTCAGTACTGTAACCTGGTAGTTACATCAGAACTATTGTTGATTCTACTACGGGTCTGGTCTGACATTTATTGAGGCGACAGTCGTATAGTGTCAGTACTGTAACCTGGTAGTCAGATCAGAACTATTGTTGATTCTACTACAGGTCTGGACTGACATTTATAGAGCCGACAGTGGTATACTGACAGTACTGTAACCTGTTCATATTCAAACAACTCACATTCTACAGGTTCAGAATTTAACTGAAATTCATGGAGAACACCTTTGAGTCTCTTCTACAAATCTGGACCGACATTTACAGAGAACACATCTATAGCACCAGTATTGTACCTGGTCACATCAAAAATCTCTCAAATAGCATCATAACTGAATAACAACTTTCTACCGATCTGAATTTTATTTATATCAAATCAAGAATTTGGACCTTTGAAAGTCTACTCTAGTGTCTTATAAATCCTGAACTGTCTAGAAATACAACCTGTTGAAGAAAACTTTGAAGATAATGCTAGAATACTAACTTAGAAATGCATAATGTTTGAACCTAGTCTACATAGCTGCATTAATGTGTACAACTTTCATCAATCATGGTATCAAAGCATGGTATCAAAGCAGCTCATTCTATTTACTAATTAACAGTTTATGTTTCGTTGTGAATAAATCCATCTTGACTGTTCCTTTTAAGGTAAAACCTGACATCCTTAGGGTTTTGAAATATACATGTCTTATTCCACACAAGGTATGGCTAGCTTACAGCTTATGGTGATGGGACTTGAGGAGAGGAGAAGCATATCAATTCCAATGGGATTCTTTTATCATACCTCTCATATGCTATATATTTTCTGTGTATTCCAACAGGACATGCATGTCAATAATGCGTAAAAGTATCTGACATTCAGGGAGAGGTATTGCAGTAATCTATTCTTTCTAAGTAACATTACTTACCAGTGTGGTTTTCTATATCAGAACACAAGGTAGGTCTATCACAACCACATAGACAGTGATGACATCATTAATCCATATGTACACCTGCAAAAAGTAAATCCATAATTGTTATCCAAATCCGTAGAGTCAATCATTAAACCTGAATTCTTATGCCTATACATCCATACTAATTAAACGATGTTGAAAAAAATGTTTATAAAACAAAGTTTGCAACTACTATGGAACAAAAATCAAATAAAGTCTATTTTAGTAAAATTTTGACTACATTTGTATTTTCACTATGATGTTTCAGTCAAGGTGAGTTAAACAATATGTGTACCTCAGTTCAGATTAATAAAACAACAGTGTTGATTTATCAGTGGTACAAGTAGAACTATCGATATCTCTTACATTAATACCTGACAAGAGTATGATTTATACATGTATAGGGAAACACAACACCTCCACCGATTCCAACTTTTTCCTCACAGAGTGGTAAATTATTCAACAAACCTCTGTGCAAATGAATACATCCACTAATAATTCTGTGCATCGTTTCATTTAAATAATGCAGGAGAGATCATCAAACAAGTTATGTGTTTACACAGGTAGCCACAATATCTCTGAGATAGCGATTCCAGTGTTATCTTATCTGTACAGGACACAGAGACCTTCACAGACAACCCTAGGATCATTTACTGAAGGAAGCAGAATTGATAAGGTGGTATATATCATGTGTTCAGGAAATAACATTTTTAATTATTAATGTTTTCTTCAAGGTGCATCAAGGCCAAGCCTGACTGGCTAACAAGGTGCATGACTGGGGTGATGATAAAGTTAGAACAAACCTGTATTTGACACAATAAGTGCCCCACTACTTTCCCCCAGATTTTCCAAGACATGTTCCCTTGAGATTTATGCTTGACGTTTTGCCTTACTGTGATGTACGTGTCTTTGAAATGTAAATAAAAAATATTGTGGGATGTTCTGAAACCAAAATCTAGAAACAAAATACTCAATTATAAGTCTTGACCATGCACACATTTTAGAGGCTGTCCTGATTACTGACTGTAATTGCCTAAACGTTTGCTTTGTGCCCCCTCTATTTATTTCCTGTTTTATTTTAGGGTTCTGGGTGCTAAATGGGTTGAATACTGTAATTTATGTGTTTTAGGGTGATATACAATGTATGTATCCAGTGCTTTTTTTTCATATAAACAAAGATTCTGTCTTTCTAAGACATATTTAGAAAAAGTCATGAAGTAAGACAAAGTAGCTAAAAAAGAATTAAAACCATATAGATCACATAAATTTTGGCCAGACATGCTGGAAAACCTGTTTATGGTAATATTAACTTGTTTCAAAGTCTTGCTTATAACAAAATCATATTTAAGTCCCCGAACAAGGATTTTTCTCATGAACATAGAACTCGTACTTCGACAACAGGGTCTGGTCGAAAATGGCGCCATGCTATTTAGTACTTGTACTGTATAGTAAAACTTAAGACATGTTGAGTAGGCAGAAACAAAGGTAATGATAACAGACACCAGTAAGGTAAACACAGGTAAAAACTACAGGTAACATGTCACACAGGTAACAAATACAGGTACAAAAGGTGATAACACAGACCTGCAGTTTGACAGGGCAAAACAGGCATGAAAGATGGATGATGTTCTAAGGTGGAGGAAAGATAAACGCTAGCAAAGTACAATGTTTAGTGTAGAGTATATATTCAATACAAATAAAATACCATGCCCAATGCTGATTAAGTACACAGTTCGTGTCGTCCAGACATGTGCACTGTAGTCTCTCCGATTCTTTACACTTATGTATTACCTATTACCAAAGTAAGACCAGGGTCGTTTTAGTTGATGATTAAAATCTGCAAGTCCTCAAAGCACACAAAGTATAGTGTTCAGCAGAGACAAAGTATTATGTTCAATGCAGACGACAAAGTGCAGTATGTGTTCCATGCAAAGTCCAGTGCTCAATGCAAAGTTCAATGTTCAATGCAAAGTTCAATAATCGATGCAAAGTAGAATGTTCAATGCAAAGTTCAATGATCAATGCAAAGTAGAATGTTCAATGCAAAGTTCAATGATCAATGCAAAGTAGAATGTTCAATGCAAAGTTCAATGATCAATGCAAAGTAGAATGTTCAATGCAAAGTTCAATGATCAATGCAAAGTAGAATGTTCAATGCAAAGTTCAATGATCAATGCAAAGTAGAATGTTCAATGCAAAGTTCAATGATCAATGCAAAGTAGAATGTTCAATGCAAAGTTCAATGATCAATGCAAAGTAGAATGTTCAATGCAGAAAAAGTACAATGTTCAATACAAAGCAGTGTTCAATACAGAAAAAGTACAATGTTCAATGCAAAGTACAGTGTTCAATGCAAAATATAATGTTCAATACAAAGTACAGTGTTCAATGCAAACAAAGTACAGTGTTCAATGCAAACAAAGTACAGTGTTCAATGCAAACATAGTACAGTGTTCAATGCAAACAAAGTACAGTGTTCAATGCAAACAAAGTACAGTGTTCAACACATACAAGATACAGTGTTCAATGCACACTATATATAAGTACAGTGCTTTTTAGAACTTTACATTAATTTTACAAATCCAAATTCACCATAAGCATTTTGAATGCTTCGGAAATATTATTTTGTAACATGAGCAGAATAGCCTGTTGTTTATTTGGCTTTAGATTTTGTGAGGTCTTTAATGTATATGATTGTTACAGCTATAAATTGAACCACAAAGAGAATCGTGCACATAATGTGCATTATGGTCTTCCGGTTGTTTTTTCTGTTTTATATATCCTTCTACATGTAGCTACATGTATGTATCCCTTTGTGTTGAAGCATAACGCATGCAACCTGGACTGACTACAGATCATTTGCTCTGATGTTCTGATCATTAATTTAATTCTCTCTGGTGTAATCTGCTACCATGTTCAAAGCCATGGTACATACAAGCAGATAGGGAATGTTAGAAGAAACTTTATTTACCCAAAGGTCATATTTTTGAGCCCCAAAAGAAGTCCAGATTGGATCACAAGAAATAGCAACTATCTTACGCACGATAGGGAAAAGGCCAGAAGTCCAGGAATCAAACTTGAAACCTCCTAATACTTGGTAGAATTCAGGGGCCAAGATGGCACCACTTGCACCACTTGGTTGCAGGTTCAAGTCCTACGTGGGGCAGTCGCATGGTACTGGCCACAGGTCGGTGGTCTATCTCTAGGTATTCTGGTTTTTCTCAAACACCAAAGCCTGGGTCTTCCTTAAATGACCATTATTATTAATATGACGTAAAGCACAAACAAACCAAACCACACTCTTGGTGTGCTGTCCATAAACTTAGAATGGAACTGTTAACTGAGGATATAGAGCCAGTCCCGTTCACCTTACAAACAGGCATAACCACATAACTTAGTCAAATATGTTGTCAATTTGTAAAACGGCTATAAATAAAAAAAAAAAGCGCTACCAAAACTCACTTTTGATTGTTTGAACCCTGGCGTAACAGCAGGTGCTTGTTAGACCAAAGTGTCCTGGCAAACTTTTGTCAGACCTTTTTAATAACAGAGTATTTTAAGGATCCCCGTCCCACTGAACCGTGCTTTTTCCTATATATACAGTACCATCTCCCAAACTTCCGTTTGGATATAACTGTAGCTCATTTGATCTAGTACTCTTCCGTTGTCAAGGTAGTTCAATCGGTTTCAGCTATAAGATTCTGAAGTCCAGAGTTTGAATCCCAGTCTGGCTCACAGGATATTTCACAATCAGAACACGTTTGTTGATTATATTTTGTTTATTTCATCTATATTATCTATTCATAAAAGTACAGCACGGTATACTTTCCTTTTCAAAAATGATTTATCAAGGTTATAGTCATGCCGGAAAAATCAGTTTTGAATGCCTAGTCTAATTTTTTGGCAGTGGTGCGGGGATCCTTAATTGTTAGGATACTGGGACAGCCTTTGGTACTATTATAATCGTTTGTCCACATTTCTATGTATGTGTTTTTTTATAAATAAAGAGCTGTTGGAGAGAATCTTAAGGAAGTTTTCATTGACCTTCCAGTTTCTTCAGTAATTTCTTCCTTACAGCCTTTATACATGCATTTTGTTTAACATAACATGCATTATGTGGTATTTTGTATTTTAAGCAGGTTAATATTCGGGTACAAAAGGCTAAAATTTCACACAATTCTCTATCACAAAAACAAGCCATGCTTAAATACAGAATGTCTTCCTTATTCAAGTTTCAAAATGAACAAGATAATCAATCTTTGATCAGCTCTTTAAAATGGTGTTATTTTGTTTTAAGATAACGATGTCAAAGAATATTTGCCACTGATACAAAGTTTGAAGAGGATCCTGTGATTGTGTGTTACAGGTCTTTAACATTAGACATTTTTTAAATACCTTCCTAACATAATAGATGCAATTCCTAGTCAGAAATGGTGGTCTACATTATGTAGACATCCTCTTGATACCAGATCAATTTCAAAAGCTTGTAAAAAAAGTTGTAAGATAAAAAAAAAGCAGGGAGGAGGGTAGTTTGTACCTGGTGTATTAGCCTCTTGTCAATACTACAATACTACAAGGTACTATCTGTAGTTTTTATCACAGAAACCAGTTTTTTCTGCCGTGTGGGATTTTTTGGAAAAGATATACTGTATACGTCTTAAGCTACCTTGGTGGTAAAATTGTCTAGACGTAAAATCTGAACCAAACTCACCTAAATTTTCAAAGTTTAATTCAACAGGTACATAGATACCAGGCAGTTTGTTCCTTCAAGTTCTACACACCATGTTGAATCTATGTTACTAAATTCAAGGAAAATATTGAATTTTCAATTCAAATGTGAAGCAGAAATTAGATTTCTCTGTGGAGTTTTATTATGATTATGTAATCAAGGTCATTTTTTCAAATGTTCTTTTCTTGGGAGTTGAAAACAGGATTACAGAAGATTAGCAGTCTATATACAGTGTATATTGTGAGTATTTACGGTAGGACCAGGGACTGCCCTATTAGGTTTGATCTTTCTAGCAGAGTCTATACAGCGTATATTGTGAGTATTTACGGTA